CTAAATCTTTTAATGATTTTGATGACATTTGGGGCGGCACGGTGGCGCAGTGGGTAGCGCTGTCGCCTCACAGCAAGAATGGCCTGGGTTCGATTCCCGGCCGGGCGGCCAGGGTCATTTCTGCGTGGAGTTTGCCTGTTCTCCCCGTGTCTGCGTGGGTTTCCTCCGGGTACTCCGGTTTCCTCCCATGGTCCAAAAACATGCAATCAGGCCAATTGGACATGCTGAATTACCCCTAGGTGTGAGTGAGTGTGTGAATGTGTCTGTCTGCCCTGTGATGGACTGGCGACCTGTCCAGGGTGTATCCTGCCTTCCGCCCAATGACAGCTGGGATAGGCTCCAGCACCCCACCGCGACCCAGAAGGATAAGTGGTTTAGATGATGGATGGATGATGACATTTGATAATATTTGATGATAAGCCGTGTTTCTCTCTGGCAAAAATGAATTGCATTTTCAAAAATCACAGTTGTCCGCGTCCTGTGTTAAACTAAAATGTACCAAAGCTAATATGTTTTATGCTGTCTGCTAATACGTTTAGCAGACAAAATAAGAATTATGCTACATATTTGTAAACTCCCCTCCTATGCAGTAAAATGATGTTGCATGAAGGTAAGTCTATTGTCAAACTTCAAAGCTGTTATAGAACAACACCAACTGCCTAAACTGCATTCGGCAAAGCTTGCTGGGTTGTGTGGGGGGAATTTTGTTAAGGTTGCCAATCATATGATGTCAATTCAGTCTACATCAGTGTTAGCTTACATGTAGCAATACTCATATCTCGTCTCTTTAACAACCTCCTAATTCAGAGGGTCCAGCAACATTACAAAGAAAAATGTCCGAATGGCAAAATGTATCAGCTTTGGAACATTTCTGTTTTTTCACAAAGTGAGATATTCAGAAGACTCATCAGACCATAAATCACGTTTGCATTGTGTATCAGTCCATATTAGATGAGCTTGACCCAGAGAAATCAGCAGCATTTCTGGACACTGTTGACATATGGCTTCACCATGAGCCAACTTTGACAAACCATTCCATTAGACCATGTTTGTTGCCCATCCACAAATGTAAGTTAAGACTGTACTATGCATAGTGGAAGCCATATGTCAAGTGTCTAGAAATGCTGCCTACTTCTCTGGGCTCAAGCTCATTTAAAATGGACTGATACTCAGTGGAAACCTGTGTGGTGGTCTGACAAGTAAAACTTTCAGATTGTTTATGGAAATAACGTATGTCTTTATAAAAAAAAAAAACAGCTTAGACCTGCTTAAAGTTCAAAATACGGGCATGATACTGACTTCAGACGTCTGTTGGACAATGAGTGTTGTTATGAGGTAGGTGTAGCTAATGAAGTTGCCTGTAAGTCTGATTGACAGTTATAATTCTAGTAATTTCCGTTCTGTACATTAGCTGTCTTTCCATGTTGTGAATGGCCTGAGGAGACCAATGCGTCATAGTTTATCAGTCACCTAATTGTAGCGCATTCAGTTTGTCCTACCGTGCCCAAGGACAAAGCATGTCTCCAGCAGGCAAAATGATCTAAAAATTACGAGATGTAATTTCACTGCTTGATGTTTATAGTTTACCCACAGAGGAAGGATTATCAACAACAATAAGAGATTGATGACATGCAGCTCTATGTATTGCTGTCATGGGTGCTTCCTTGGCAGCACACAGCCAACCCTCAGCAGTCTTTTATTGTACACGCACCCATTACAAGCTTCACTGTTAAACAGGACAAACCACTGCTGGGTTCATTCTATTATCTTGTTTCTGTCCTTTGTAACCTTTAGGAGTCTAGAGAAACTAGAGAATATGCTGTATTTCCATTTTGAAAAGAATAACAATGGAATAACAGAAAACACATTTTTTGTATGTCTAATTAAAGTGATATTAATCATAATATAGCATTGATATTTAGTGTATGTGTAAAGCCCACTCCTAATCATGAAAACAGAAAATTCCTGGAAGTGGCCTGTAGTGCATTTTAGAACGAAAGTCTTCAATTATATATATATATATATATATATATATATATATATTACTTATATCATGTATGTAAATAACTTTGGAATTAAAATAATTAAATACATAATTATGTAGTTACATACTAATTTATATTTACCTTCAGTTTAGTTTCTGCATTGCCAAATTCAAATATGCACTTCTAACTTTTGTTTTAATGTCAAGCAATGAAAAAAAAAAAGATTCTGCAAAACAAGACACAAAACTTTTCATAATATTTAAACAGTAGCATATCCGCTGTTCAACTTACAAACAAATGTGGTGTCTATTGAAAGTTTAGGATCTGCACTTTCACCAGAATTTCTCCACTTGTCTTGGGCACACTTGAGGTATGTGTGAGAGATGCTTAAAGGAACATAGTGGCCTAAAACTAGCATATAAAGTGCTCATATCATGGAAAACTAGACTTCAATGTTGTATGTAAAGAGCTTCAAAATGTGGCACTCACTCTTCACACACAGGCCATATATGATAAAAAAAACAAAGCTGCCAAAAACAAGCTGTTTTGAATGTATAGTTTTTGTGATGTCCCAAAAACAACACATTTACTTATTACACTATAGGATTATAAGCCTACAGCTTCGCCCATTCAAGTTATAAGGACTCAGCCTGGACAGCTTTTTGAATAAGGCGCAAAAACAAACAAGAGAGCTCAATCAGTCCTGTTTTAAAAGAACTGCACTGGCTACCTGTATCTGCCAGGATAAATTTTAAAGTTCTGCAACTAGTTTTTAAGGCTCTAAATGACCATAAAGCACCGCTTACATTACAGAATGTAACCGTTTATGTTCCAGCACGTGATCTTAGATCTGCAGATACTCACCTTCTGCAAATACCTTCTGTAACTAGAGAGAAACATGGAGAGGCTCGTTCAGTTATTCTGCTTCTAAACTGTGGAACTCAATTCATCTTTTATTAGACAGTCAAGCTCAGAGTTCACTTCTAAAAAAGAGTTAAAAACAAATCTCTTTAACTTAACATTTAAAGAAAACTCTACACCTCTGTCACAGTTTCCCCTGTGCCCCTCTGAGTGTGCTTGTTTCTTCCCCTGTGTTGTAACCATGTGCTTTTTAGCCATGTGCTTTTTAGCCATGTGCTTTTGTTTTTGTTTTGGTTACTTTGCTCCACCCCTTTCCCCGCCTTCCATATTAGTATTCCCGCCTGTTTGAAGTTCCTGTCTCCTCCCTCTCCCAGGTGATCCCTTTTGTTACTAGCTATATTTAGCCCTTTGTTTCACTCGTTTACACTTGTTTGTCTAGACTACATTATGTTCTTACATGTAGTGGTTATATGTCTGCCCTGTGTTTGGTTTGCTCTATGTGTTTCTTGGTTAGAACCATTGTAGTTTGTTGTTTATTATCATTCTCATTGTTTGTTTTTGTTTATTAAAGTTTGATTGTACTTACATCCAGGCTTATAACTCTCCAGGCATGACAATATCCTGGTATTTATCTTTTTTATTTTGATCTGTATCATTGTCTTATATGATTTTAAATCAATACTCATAACTTCTATTACTGTAAGCTTTATCACCTATTTGTAAAGCACTCTGGCATGAAAAGTCCTATAAATAAAGATTATTATTGTTATTGTTGTTGTAATTAATGCACAACAGCCAATCAGAACAGAGGTTCTGACCAGAGGAGGAGGGGTTCCCCTTTTTTGGGTCTTGGTTCCTCTCAAAGTTTCTTCCTCTTGCTCTTAGGGAGTTTTTCTTGCTACTGTCGCATTTGGCCTGCTCATGGGGGCTCGGACCTGGATTTTTTTTCTGTAAAGCTGCTTTGTGACAGCACCTGTTGTAAAAAGCACTACATAAATAAATTAACATGGTCATTTACATATATCAGTCTTAAAGGCACAGTAACAAAAACAACCTGTTTAATTCTAAGGGATGAAGGGAGGTTAAAAGTGGCCATGTGAACATAAATTCTTGTATTTGTCATGATGTATTCTGCAGTATTAGCACTGTATTTCTTCACCTGATTAGTTGAACAGAATAGACTATTTTGTCCGTCGGTGTTCTTTACAATAACCAGCCTGCATCCTCTTTATTATGAAAATTGCCACTCAAGAAGAGACTAATAAACACAGACCTCATATCTGGTGCCCTAGCAGTAATGTTAGCTGTCTGGTTTCCTCCACCAGTTGCCAGCTAGCAAGCTAAAAACAACCTTTTCAAACAGCTAGGAAAAACTGGGAAATCCCATTCTTGAGATTATTGTGGCACCACTACAGTAGGCTAGAAGGCATGTTAACAACAGCACTATATAACTATATTTTTATTTTCTGTAATGTTAGTCAAGTAAAAAAATACTAAAATGTGCTATACATGCGCTGCTGGCTTCGGGTTGGATTTTGTGGGAGTTTGTCGGACTACTTCATACATCTTTATGCATTAACGTCACACACACGGGCTCAGAGAAAATGCAAAGAAAGTTTTCACTGAGTTTTCTTTGACTACTCTTTTAATGGGCTTGCTATCATCAGATCGAGGCCTTGTCCCAGTAGGCCATTCCTGGTAAAACTCCCCCGGAGGGCAGCCTGGGAGCATCCTGATCAGATGCCCGAGCCACCTTAACTGGCTCCTCTCAGTGTGGAGGAGTAGTGGCTCTACTTTGAGCTCCTCTCGGATGATTGAGCTCCTCATCCTATCAAGTAGAGTGTAGCGCACCACCCTGTGAAGAAAGCCCATTTCCGCTGCTTGTATCTGTGATCTCATTCCTTCAGTCATTACCCAAAGCTCATGACCATAGGTGAGGGTTGGGATGTAGACTGACTGGGAAACAGAGAGCTTTGCCTTATGGCTCAGCTCCCTCTTCACCACTACAGTCCGGTACAGCGATCGCATTACTGAAGTTTGCTTCCTTAGTTTTGCACTGGATCTTTGGTCTTAGGGGACAGTTGTGTATATGTGTTGTTTTTGAGCCATTCCTTTAATCCTCTTGCACTCATTCCATGCTGCTCCCCCTTTTAGGTGCGGACTGTCTGATGGGGGTTTACCTGTTCTTCGTTGGAGTCTTCGACGTGAAATTTCGCGGAGAATACAACAAGAACGCCCACGTGTGGATGGAAAGCACGGAGTGCCGCACCATCGGCTTTCTTGCCATGCTGTCCTCTGAAGTGTCCGTCATGCTGCTCACCTACCTGACCTTAGAGAAGTTCCTGGTCATCGTGTTCCCCCTGAGTCACCTGCGGCCAGGCAGGAGTCAGACTTTCGCTGTGCTGGCTGTGATTTGGCTGCTGGGCCTGTCCATCGCCGCCGTGCCGCTGCTCAGCGAGGAGCTTTTTGGAAACTATTACGGCCGCAACGGGGTCTGCTTCCCCCTGCACTCAGACCGCATAGAGAAACCCACCGCCAAAGGGTACTCCACAGGCATATTTCTGGGTGAGTGTTGATAGTAGGGTGAGCATTTAGATAGTTATATGTAGTTAAACCCTGTCCCTCAAAAGTTTGGGGACACCCTGATATTAATACAAGCATGTTTTTTCCTTTACAAATACCATAATAAACACTAACCAGGTTTATTTTAGGGAACACCATATTACACATATATATAATGGTTGTTATGATGTCAGCACTAATCAGGGACCTGTCTCACAAAGCATATTCAACTTAGAAAGGGTTGCTGGCTAAGTTTCACAAACATAGAAAACACAAAATTTCAAGGCAACATGATTTCTGAGTTGCTTTTGTTGTCGTTCTTACTAAGGTTCATTTGCTTAACCAACCTTTTTTAAAAGGGGGAACCCAGCCTACAAACCTAGCCTGTGTTTGATTCCCCTCAAACACTTCAAGCTGTACCAATAAGCATCCCCATATGAGGCTCCTAACGCCATAAATTTACCTGTGTAATGTGATTAGACTGGAAGCCAGATAATAAGGTCTGCCAAATGTTGTAAATGTAGACTGAGTTCCTTTAAAAAAAATATTGGCAGCCTAACATTAGATGAACGAACAAATCAAACGAGCCTTAGTAAGGATGACCATAAAAGCAGCTCTTGAGAAAAATAAAACTTTAATGGTTCATGTTGCTTTGATATTTTAAGCTCTTTCAGCAGTTTCTTTGATCAGTGCTGGTTTTGGTACTGAAGAAGCCATGATTAATCCTTAAGCGTGTGTACATGAATGCTGACAAACATATATATGGTACTGTTTCAGCACTTATTGGAGTAATAATTGCTTTGTATTTGTGCTATCTATGTAGTATGATTTGTTTCCTGCTTTTGAAATGTGGTATTTCATGTGACTGACGCCTCAAAAGGACCAGAGGGGTGCACCTCCATCAGAAGGCCGTCCCGGTGCTGGGACCAAAGGCCTTTAACTCCAGGCCTCCAACATAATACTATTAAAAAAGAAATCTCTTAATACTGGCTGAACACTTATACTAATAACTGATTTAGGTCTAAGTTCTCAAAAGATGTCAAAAAGAAAAAAGACTTCAGACGCTGCGTTTGTGGAAAGAGGGAAAAAGGCATCTTCTGTATTCCAGCATCGGGTTGTACAGGGTCCCGAGCGACCCAACTGCGCAAATACAGTGTTCAGTTAATGCCTTATATACCCTCATCTGGGGTGTTATGATGTCACCTCAAACTTGATGTTCCATTAATCCCTATTCAAAAACTTCCCCATTTCTTGGCCTCTCTTAAGTTCAACCCGTACAACGCCTCTTTTTTTAAAAGCTGGTTTCAGCCAGTTTGTACCAGTTTGTCTCATCCTACAAGGCTCTACTGAACCATATATCATATAGACTCATATGAGTTCACCGACAGTGCAACTGCAAATAAGGTCATCTAAGTTCATCTGCTTTCGGAAAGCCCCCAAACGGGCAGACTATGGTCTAATGCCTCCTATATTGCCTCTTAGTGAGGCATTAATATTCCCTTTTAGTCAATGCTTAACTATTTGATTATTGATTACATGTCTAACCTATTTACTTATTGATTAAGGGTGTATTTATTCAAAATTTCCCATCACCTGATTGTTCAGAAGATCAAAAAAGCTGTTTATGATCCAATTAAAAGCCCAAATGTAACTGGCCCTAAGCCTAACTAAGAAGAACACATCTTTGAAGAAACAAAACAGGAAACATAACACATATTAGAAGGTAAAAACACAGCAACATAACAGGATTTGACTACACAACAGCAGAATGAGATTAAAGGTAAATATACCCAAATCCTGATCTACCCAAAGTATTAGTAAATAGCTGTTTTATGTTAAAAAAGCATTTGTAGGTACAGCACTGTGCGAAAGTCAGGGACACTTTCTTTAGTTAGTTTCCAGGCAAAACAGCCCTTAAGACCTTTTTCCTAAAAAAGTTGGGATGCTGTGCAAAATGTAAATAAAAAAAGCAATCATATCAAATCATTTAAACCCTAATTGTAATTGAGAATAGTACAAAGACAACACATCAAATGTTGAAACTGAGAAATTTCATTGTTTTAGAAAACTACATGCTTATTTTTAATGTGATGCCAGCAACATGTTTCAAAAAAGTTGGGACGGGAGCATGTTTACCACTGTGTTTCATCACCTCTTCTTTTAACATCACTCTGTAAGCGTTTAGGAACTAAGAAAACCAACTGCTGTAGTTTTGAAAGTGAAATGTTTTCCCATTGATTTAGGATTTTAGCTGCTCAACAGTTCGGGGTCTCTTTTGTCATATTTTTCTTTTTATAATGTGGCAAATGTTTTTTGCAGGCAGACCAGTTTAACATGCATGAGTCTTTTACTGTTGTAATACATGCAGAATGTGGTTTGGCATCGTCTGGCTGAAATAATTAAGGCCTTCCCTGAAAAAGACGTCATCTGGATGGCAGAACATGTTACCAAAACAAAATATTGTTCAGCATTAATGATACCTTCAAAGATGTGCAAGTCATCCATGCCATGCGCACTAATGCACCCCTATACCATCACAGATGCTGGCTTTTGAACTGTATGCTGATAACAAGCTGTGAGTGGTCTTTAGCCTGGAGGACACAGTGTCCATGATTTCCAAAAGGAATTTCAAATTTTGACTCATTGGACCACAGAACTCTTTTCCACTTTGCCTCAGTCCATCTTAAATGAGCTCAGACCCAGAGAAGGTGGCAACGTTTCTGGATTCTGTTTATATATGATTTATTCTTTGCGGTTTAGCTTGCATTTGTGGATGTAGTGAACTGGGTTCACAGACAGTGGTTTTCAGCAGTGTTCCTGAGCCCATGCAGTGATTTCCTTTACAGTATCACGTCTGTTTATGATGCAGTGCTGCCTGAGGGACTGAAGATCATGGCCAGCCAGTATTGGTTTTCAGCCTTGTCCCTTACATACAGAGATTTATCCAGATTCTCTTAATCTTTTAATGGTATTATGTACCGTAGATGATTAAATCCCCGAGTTCGTTGTTATTTTACCTTAAAACATTATTCTTAATTTGTTGCACTATATGCCTGTGCAGTCTTTCACAGAGTGGTGAACCCCTCCTCATCTTTACTTCTGAAAGACATTACTCAATCATGTTATTGACCTGTTGCCAATTAAACCATCAGGTGTTTTTTTAGCATTACACAACTTTACCAGCCTTTTGTTGCCCCATCCCAACTTTTTTGGAATGTGTTGCTTGCATCAAATTCAAAATGGGCATACATTTTTCAAAAAAAAAAAAATCTCAATTTTAACATTTGATATGTGTCTTTGTACGATTATAAATTAAATACAGGGTTTAAATGATCTGCACATCATTGCATTCTGTTTTTATTTACATTTTGCACAACGTCCCAACTCTTTTGGAAATGGGTTGTACATAAGGAAGGGGAAAGGCAAAGGAAAATAAAGGTTAAAAATACAGAAAAGCGGGAGTTCAAAAAATGATTAAACGATATAACAACTATATAAGACCTGGTAGACCACTAAAACGTCCCCATCAGATAAACAGCACTTCTTCTTTGAGAGAGAGGAGAAAATCAAGCTCCACTCTTGATTCAGAGGGGTCAGAATGTTCAATAGCTGTTAGTGCGAAAAGAAAATAGACTCAGCTGAACAGAAGTTAAAAGAAGAAAATTGGCAAATCAAACTAAGAAGCTTTGGTTGCTCTCAGAACAATGGACTCACCACCCCAGAGTCCAGACCTCCACATCGCTGAATATGTTTGAATTGTGAGAAGCAGAAAATGCAACCAACTCTAGACTGAACTTTGGAGGTGTGGAAACAAAAAAAAACAAAAAAAAACAAAAAAAAAAACAAAAAATCAAACAAACAAAAAAAAAAAAATATATATATGTTTATATTATTATATTATATTATTATATTTTATATATATATACATATATATATATATATATATATATATATATATATATATGGGGTTGTATGTGTATATATATATATATGTATATATATATATATATATATATATATATATACAACCCCATATCCAAAAATAGTTACAAATCGTGCAAATGTATAAGAATAGGATTCAATGATATGCAAATCATGTAAACCGCATTTTTAAAGGAAAACAAAACAAAGAAAATATATCAAATGTTGAAACTGAGAAATTTGATTGTTTTTGGAAAAATATATGCCCATCTTGAACAACACGTTGCCAACAACATGTTTCAAAAAACATGTTTACCACTGTGTTTCATCACCTCTTTCTCTTTACAACACTCTGTACGTGTTTGGGAACTGAGGAGACCAATTACTGACCTGTTGTCAATTAACCACAAGGTGTTTTTTTAGCATTACACAACTTTACCAGCCTTTTGTTGTCCCAACGTTTTTGAAAGTGTTGTTGGCGTCAAATTCAAAATAATCTATTTTTCAAAAAACAATAAAGTTTTCCGTTTCAACATTTGATATGTTGTCTTTTTATTATTTTCAATTAAATATAGGGTTTAAATGATCTGCACATCATTGCAATTTGTTTTTATTTACATTCTGCACAGCTTCAATTGCTACTTGGTCAAGGTGACTCCAGGCTATGAAGAGGGCTTGATTTCACCACAAAGAGATATGACTGCTTCTTTAGTGCGTGCGAGGTGAAGACTCTCTGTGATGACACTAATGAGTCCATGCCTAGGCAGAGCATGCTGTGTGCATTACTCAAAGTCTCTCCGTCTCTCTGTTGATGTCATTTGTTCACTCCTGCTACTCATTCTTGGCACCTACCAACCTGAAGTAATGGAAATCATTTTTTCCAGCACATTAAATTTAATGGCAGTAATACACATGGAAAAAAAACACCCTGTCCCAATACGGAGGACACGCTCCTCTGAAATTCAGCTGTGTGTTATGTATTTTTGGATACAGATTGGAAAATGAACTAAACTGCTTAGGGACAGTTTTGTCACCAGAAATTAAGCTTGATCCTAAACAAAGAGATTTTTCAGTGAAGCATTTCAATTGTGATGTAATTCAGTCCATCTTTTCACATTGTTTTATGTGTGTCTTAAATTGTTGGCTATTTTTAAATTTTAATTGATTTCAAGTGGGACAGAATGTGTGGAGCTCATCTTAACTCCTCAGCACTTCAGTACTGAAAATGCTTTTCAGCTGCTGAAGGTGTTTCTAATCTAGAGCTGGGCAGTATGTTATTGATATCATGAAACTATCATGGTACCCGTTTCAATACAGTTGTATGTTTGGTTTGTAAGTTTTGGCACCACTGAGCCAATGACTTTTCTAAGTGAAAACAAGTGAACATGTCTTCTACAGTGAACACACTTCTGCACACTTTAATACACAATTACTGTTTATTAGCTCCATTTAAAAGATTGTGGGGAAAAATGATACAACAATAAAATAATAAAACATAAAATGTGGCCTATATATATATATATATACATATATTTTTAATATATTTTAAATATGTTTATGCCATGTGTAAGTTTGTTTTAAGTAGAGAATATGTTCACTGTTTTGCACTCAGCAACACATTTAATTTGACTAAAGAGGTTCAAACATTTGCATCATGTGGATTGTCAATATTTCTAGAAAACATCTGCATTGACCCAGACTTAGACCAATTATAGAGATGACAATCAGTGTACAGTAACTACATAAACTGCATAGTAACAAGTGGCTATTAAGTGATTATCACTTCTTCTTATTTTACTTTACGTTTACCAATTGTTGGATTTTTCCTTCTGTTTCTTCTTAAATATTTTAATTTATTTTTGACTTGAAAATATATATCGCTGTTGTTGGAAGAAAACTTTGTATCTCCATTTTTGACATTTTTCCATTTCTGACATAGTTTGAAAATACCTGTTACCATTTACAATGTGTGTAAATTTCATGAAGAGTGGACCAAAAGAAATGACCCAAAATGACTTGGAAAATAGTCTGGTTCCACTGATTTACATTAAAAGTAAGGTAGGTTTTTTCTTTTCCTCTAAAGTTAACACTTTGGAGATATAAGGTTTTCTTCCGTCAACAGCGATAGATTCTTTCAATGTGGCACTGCTCTCTGCTGCTTTTCTGGTGGATTTTGTCCAGTCTGACTTGTTTCCAAACTCCTCAATGCCTCAGTTATCCAACAAGCTACTCAAATAACATTTTATGTGCCTTCAAATGAGGTTTCTGAAGGAACCATTACAATCTACAAGTCCCTGTAGAAACCTCTAACTTCCTCACTGAGAACCATGCTTCAGTTCTAGGCTCCTCAATGAACGTTGTCCTTTGAAGGACCCTTTAAGCACCTTTAGGGGTTATTTTAGGGACCATGAAGAGTGTGCATGTGTGCGTTGCTTTATTTGATCTTGAAGTTTTCTTCTAGTCTATAGGTTTCCTGTGACCTTGTGAACATCAGGCCTCGTTCACCAATATCTTCCTAAGTTTTTCTTAAAGTTTTCTTGAGAAAGGTCCCAAGAAAAAGACTACGTCAGATTCATGACGTGTTCCTAAACCGCAGAACTGTTCACACCTTTCTGCTCTTGAGTGTGTGTAGATTCTGTTCTCACGAACAAATCCCAAATAAGAAAACACTGGGGAATGTCAGAATCTTCGTGAAAGAAGATTTTACGGAGAAATTTCTTCTTCAGAACGGTTGGTGAATAAAGCCCAATGATCTTGGCATTTCATAAAACCTATATCACTGTTTTTGGAAGTAATGTAGTTTGCAGTTAATCGTGTATAAGTTTAAAACTTAATTTAAAATTAAAAAGTAATAAAATAAAACCCAGTCAAATTTAATGTTTTGTTGAAAATAAGGGAACAAATTTAAATATGTAATTTTTATAGAACATAAAACATAAAATGTGCAATTTTATGCAAAAAAAAAAAAAACTTTTGCACAGGCCTCATTTTATATTTTATTTCTTTTCTTCTGCATCAAAATGTTTAACTTTTTTCAGAAAATCAGCAAAATAGGTAACAAACTTTTGCATATGGCTGTACTTTGGGTCCAACTACACAATAGCAAACTAGAAATCCTTCTCCTCATCCCACCCCTTCACACACACACACACACATATTACATACATACATATATACATACTTACATAAATGTTGGGACACTAATCCAAATGCAATGCAAACCTCATCTTCACACCAGAGCTCTCCAACATGACTCACTACTCACTGAAACCACCATCCATCACACCTGACTCAAAATGTCGTCAACATTCTGAAAGATATTTCTCTAGAAAACTTCAGTATTCATTCATGCATCTTCTAAGCTTCTTATCCTCCTGATTTGTGGTGAATGCTGGAGCCTATCCCAGCATTCATTGGAAAGAAGGCAGGAAAAACACTGGACAGGCCTAGGGGCAATTTAGTATCTCCAATTCACCTGAAGTCTTTGGACAGTGGGTGAAAACCAGAGGACCTGGAGGAAATCCACGCAGACATGGGGAGAACATGCAAACTCCACACAGAAAGGACTCTGGTGACCCTGCTGAGGAATCGAAACCAGGCCATTCTTGTTGAATCTAGTTGAATTAATCAGTCAAAAAAATATTATCCCTTGGTAACAAAATGTCTGTGAGAAGGAGTTCAGATACATTCAAATTCCAAAATCAACTGTGAAAAGTATACTGAAGTGGTGGAGAGACACAGGATATGTTCAAAACATCTCTCTGACCATTCAGAAGAGAACGCCCAGCAAGCCTGACCAGGCACCAGCTGTGCAAACTCATGCGCTCCATGACCTTAAGCTGTCATCCAAAAGAAGGAAACACAATGCTAAACCTAAATAGAGTACTAAACGCTACCAAAATGAAGGAAACAGACACTAACGATTGTCCTGCTAATGTTGGAGCATTTTTACCTGTTTTACTTTTACCACTTTTACCTGTTAATTATGGGAATCGGCTTGAGTTTCAATTAGTTGTAACTGGTCATTATTGCAGGTTTGTTATTACTTTTCTGATGGATACAAACGAATAAATGATAACTTTAACTTAGACTACTTTTGAGGTAGGTAGGTAGGTAGGTAGGTAGGTAGATTTAAGTTGGATAAAACTAGTTAATGTACTTGTTACCACATGAAGTTTGTTTTTTTAGGTAGATCTGACGAGCCACTTTTTACAGTATGTCCACTCTCACTCTGGCTGTTGTTCTGTGTGCAGGACTCAATCTGGTGGCCTTCCTCATCATCGTCATCTCCTACTCCAGCATGTTCTACTCCATCTATAAAACAGGCATCAACGCCACAGAGCTGCGCAGCCGGCTGCACAAAGACGTGGCTGTGGCCAACCGCTTCTTCTTCATCGTGTTCTCTGACGCCCTCTGCTGGATCCCCATATTCCTGGTCAAAATTCTCTCCCTGCTGGAGGTGGAGATCCCCGGTAAGAAAGTGTGGAACCAATACTTCAGAACCAATATTCTGCCTGTCAAAAGTTTTCAAAATGTTTTAATAGATAAGTATGTTTTAATTGTTTTGTAATACCTTACATTAAACAGAAAGCTGTGTAGATATCGACTTTCTACTTTGCAAAAGCTGCAAAACTGAAGGAGCAACTGATGAAAGTTCCACCAAAGGCCACACATTTTACCCCCATGTTGTTACAGCAACCTAACTAATTGTTTTTGCCAAATATTTTAAAAAATATTTGATTGTGATCACAAAGCAGAGATCTGTAAATCCACTTTGACCTGTATTTAAACAAAACATTACAAAGATATTTCATGTTTTACCTGATCAACTTTATTGCTGTTTGTAAATATTCACTCGTTCTGAAATCCATGCCTGAAATACGTTCCAAAAAGGCTGAGCCAGGGCGTTAAAAAACACCTTGAACAGGTGATGTCAATCACGCTTGGATATAAAAGGAGCCTCCAGGAGCATGGATGGGTTGAAAAATGCAGCAGCTAATAATCCAACAGTTTTAGATTGTTCCTTAACAAGTGATTGCAAGGATTGTGGGTGTTCGATCCTCTACAGTGCATAATGTCATCAAAAGAGGGAATCTAGAGAAATCTCTGTTTGTAAAGGGAAAGACTGAAAATCACAACTGAATGCTTCTGACCTTTAATCTCTCATATGGCACTGCATTAAAAAGCAGCATGCTTCTGTGATGGATGTCACCACAAAGGCTCAGAAATACATTGACAAACACTGTTCATCATCTATACATGCAAGTTAAGACAGTGAAAGCCATACATAAACAATGTCCAGAAACGCTGCAGACTTCTTTGGAGCTGATCTGAAATGGACTGATGCACAGTGGAATCATGTATTTTAATCTTTTGAGCCTAGGCTCAGAATTGTTTTAACAAACCGTTGTAAATAAACATTGGGCGCCATTCACCAACCATTCGTAAGAAGAAATTTCGGTAACACTTTCCATGAATGTCACCTTTGTAAGCATCTATAAACACATTCATAACATGTTATAATGCATTCATGAGGCATTATAAACATGGCTATAAATATTTATAAAAATGCATTATACATTATAGCCATGCTTATTATGCATTATGAATTGTTAACATAATACATTATAAGTACTGATCATAACAAATTATAAGCGCTCATAAGTTGTGTTTGTCCGCTCTAAGTAAAGTGAAGCGTACTGTACTAAAGCCTCCTCCAGTGTTAAGAGTGAGGCTTCAAGTTGAAGTATTTACTAAAGGATTTACTGAAACACTAAAACATGCACAATAAACCACATTACAGGCTTCAAATGTCAGAGTTTAAACTAGTGCTGCCATCAGTGTTTTACCCAATGTGGGAAAGTTAGTGTACACCACCGTTAGCTTGGTATTTGTCTTTACGCTTTCCAAGCTTGGACTGACTTCTTTGGCACTGACAGTATAACATGTTATCAACACTACTTATAATGCATTATATTAACAATTCCTAATGTATAATAAACATGGCTATAAAGTGTAATTCATTTTTATAAATGTTTATAATCATGTTTATAATGTCATATGAATGCATTATAACATGGTATAAATGTGTTTATAGATGCTTACAAACGTGACATTCATAGAAAGTGTTACCGAAATTTCTTCTTAAAACCCACTTATGTGGTTTCCATAAAGATTCTGACATTCACCAATGTTTTCTTATTTGGGATTTTTTTCTCAATTAAGAAAAGAACTCCACTCACTCACAAGCACAAAGGTGTGAACAGTTCTGTGGTTTAAGAACAAATTTAAGAAAAAACTTAGGAATATATTGGTGAATGAGGCCCAGTGTTCACAAGCTTTTCATGGTTCTTAAAATAACCACTAAAGTTACTTAAAGGGTCCTTCAAAAAACTGGGTTCAGTGAGGAGCCTAGAACTGAAGCATGGTTCTCAGTGAGGAAGTTCCTACTTGTACTTGTAGATGGTATGGGTTCCTTCAGAAACCTCATTATATATAAACGTTTTTAGACATGTAAGAAGTTATTTGAGTACCTTATTCGATAACTGGGGTATTGAGGGGTTTACAGACAAGTCAGACTGGACAAAATCCACCAGAAAAACAGTAGAGAGCAGTGCCACATTAAAAAATATATATTTTCAAGTCAAAACTTCAAAATATTTAAGAAGAAACAGAAGGGAAAATCCAACAATTGGTAAACGTAAAAAGTAAAATAAGAAGAAGTGATGATCACTTAGTAGTCACGTTACTATGCAGTTTGCACTAAATCTCTCCTTTTTAGGATCCATGCAAACATTTAATTTCCTAGAAAAACAAATGCAAAAGTTTGAACCTCTTTAGTCAAATTAAATATTTTGTTGATTTTCTAAGTGGAAAAAGTGAACACATCTTTCACTTTTTGATCACTTTTTAATGTTTTATTATTTATTCCCACAACGTGTTAAATTGAAGTAATGAACAGAAAATTGTGTATTAAAATGTGCAGAGGTGTGTTCACTGTAGAGGATGTGTTCACTTATTTTCACTTAGAAAATCAAGACAACCTTTCAAATTGTTTAAGAAAATAATAGATGATGTGTTCTTTGGGCCAAAGAAGCAACAAAGCATCCAGATTGTTACCAGCATAAAGTTCAAAAGCTGCAAGTTTACATCTGTGAGGACACCATTAACACTGAAAGTAATAGAAATGTTTCTGAGCTATATATCGCTGTTGTCGGAAGAAAACCTCATATCTCCAAAATGGTAATTTTACAGGAGAAGGAAAAAACATACTTTACTTTTAATGGAAGTCAATGGAACCAGAAGTTTTTCCAAGTCATTTTGGGCCGTTTCTTTTGGTACATTCATCAAGAAATTTACAAACAATGTAAAGGCTACCAGATATTTTCAAATTATGCCAAAACTGAAAAACATCAAAAATAGATATGAGGTTTTCTTCCGACAACAGCGATATGTTGCCTTTTAGACATCATCATTTTCAGGGAAGTCTGTGTTTATTTCAACGTGACAGAGCCAAGCCACATTCTGCATGTGCTACAACAGCATGGCTGCATAACCAGAGAGTACAGGTGCTAGAATGACCTGCCTGCAGTCCAGAACTGTCTACCGTGGAAATTGTGTGACACATTACGAAGCATAAAACAAGACAACAATGGCCTCAAATGGTTGCCCCTCTTAGGATTTGTATCTGAACATAGGAAAGGAAAAACCTTCTGCTTTCAAAATCATATCGGTTTGTGTCTTCACTCCTCAAGCAGTTACTAAGTGTTATTAAAAGGAAAGGTGCTCCCAACCTTTGTGCAACAGGTCTCAAATTCGGAATGAGTGTATAGTTGCATGTACTAATCACTGCTTTCTGTTTTTATTAGCATTTTGCTTACTTTCACATCTTTTTTGGAAGTGAGATTTGTAAAATAATACTGGTGTGAACTCTGTGACTCATACACACAACTCAGTTATCTAAAACACTTACGATGATAAAGAATACATTTATGCAGATAGTGATGCTATGGGAAAATAACAAGATGGTCAAAAGCATGTTCTACTTCAAGCTGGTTAACTGTGTAAAATATCCATGGAACATTTTAGCTTGCACCCTCTTACTTTAAGTAACTTAAATTAATAACAGATACATGTTTTTGCCCAGTCCCATTTCACCCCTTGCCCCTACCACTTAGCCCTCCGTTTTGTGCGTTCACGTTTAGGGGTAGGGTGTCCTGTTTTTTGTTGAGATAGAGGGGTAGGGCAAATTGTAACAGGGGGTTTTCTTAGACTCACTCCAAATGGAGTGTTATGAGAAAAAAAGAAAAACTAGCAAGATGGCTGCACAAATGACCAAAGAAACTCACAAATGAGAGAATTTTCTCTGTAAAAAATTACGATAACCATTGAATTATCTTAGTTTAATGTTATTTCAGTGTATTATGGTCCTTTTCTTCACAACAAGCATAAAAAATTGTTAATAGGATGCTGATGTCTCAGTGGCTACCTAGCTAAATTCCCTGTTCCACTGTAAATGGTCCAGCAGTGCTGACGCTTGAAGCGCCAGAATGTAACTGCCGGTTAGGTTGAACGGGAAGATTGTAACGAGAAGCTGGCGAAAAAGTTGAGTTCAGCTTCATTTCACTGAAGAATTAGGGGTGGACGAAAAATAAATAATTGCTATATCTTTGAAGGCATATGATTCCCTAAATTAACTAAAGACCAGCAGTGAGGTTACTGAACTTTACCCCCCTCTGCTATCACTGCAGACTGGCAGGGTCACCTACAGAGCAGCACTAGTAGCTGTTAATGAAATAATGTTCTTCTTTATTTGAGGGTCCCATTTTGTAGAGGAAGATTTCAACTACTACCCCTAGTAACTCAGTTCCAAGGGGCAAACTGACACTCAAAAACAAGGGGTAGGGGTGAACATAAGAAATGGGACTGGGGCTTGGTTTAACAAAACTGATGCAGATATTTTTTGCAGGTATCTGAGAAGCAACAGTGAAAATGATTTGAAAATGTTCCAAAGAAGACAAGATTTCCTTAAACGTTTACAGGCCGTGTTTAGGCAGTGTTTTATGGTCTCTTGGGTCTTTATTGAATCCTGCTATAAATGCAATTTAGATGGAATTAAATTAGTCTGTGTATTATGGATTCTTAGAAAAACTAGACAATTAGCTCTGCTTCATGCTGTACAACGCCAACACCGTATTCAGAGATTTGATTTAGATGGACAGGAGCAACCTTCTGTTATCTATTCATCTAATATAATGAAATGATCCTTATCAGTTTGTCAGTGCAGGGTGTATCTAATCAATGAGAGGCAGTGGAGACGTTACTTTGACCCTCAATGTTTAAGGACAATGTTCCACAGATCTTGGCCTCAGTATTTTGGAGAAGGAACACTGTGAACATCTTTGCCAGGAGGCTTCACTAAAGGGAAGAAACCCTAAAGGCTAATACATCCATTTAAAAGTCTGGAATCATCATTATCAATAATATAACATCAGTGTGGTTGAAGTGATTCTAATATATTGCAAGTTCTTTGAAAGTTTGTGAACTTTGTGATTTGTGAAGAACTAGTTAATAATGGAGAAAGACGTGTTTTCTAGAGAAGTTATAATAAAATTAACATAGAATATTGAAAGGTGTGATCTCAATACAGATAACTTAAGAATTTCTATAAAATGTTACAAATAAGTCATTACAGTATTTTAGTTATCATCTAATAACTACTTGTTGTTGATTGTGCAAAACTGGTTTGATGGGAAATTAGTGAAACTTGTCAGATCGAGTCAGATCTCTTTTCAGTGGTGGTGATAGGAACTACAGGTCACAGTGTCTACAAATATAGCCATTGTATTTACTTTCCAAAATGACCATGTTGATATATTAAAATAATAGTACTGAAAAAATATTTAAAAATATATGTTTTCTTTGGGGATTATTTTATGTGGAAGTCCGGAAAGGCCATGAGGTAGTTATAATTTTCTGAGATAACAAATGAACTGTCTTGTGATCTCAAAACAACAAAAGTTGATATCTTAAAGAGTTCATTTTCTTGTGATCTCAAGATCACAAAGCTGTGTTCTTAATATAACAAAGTTGTTATCTTGAGATAACGAGTTGAATATCTTGTGATCTCGAGATAACAGAGTTGTTATCTTGAGATCACAAGGTAGTTAACTCGTTAACTCAAGATAACAAAGGTTGTTATCTTAAGATAACGAGCTAAGCATCTTGTGATCTCAAGCAGTTTTCTTGAGATAACAAGTTAACTATCATGTGATCTCAAGATAACTTTGTTATCTTTCAGAGTTGTTATCTTAAGATAACAAGCTAAGCATCTTGTGGTCTCAGGATAACAAAGTTGTTATCTTGAGATAACGAGTTGAATATCTTGTGATCTCAAGATAACAAGAGTTGTTATCTTAAGATAACAAGCTAAGCATCTTGTGATCTCAAGATAACTTTGTTATCTTTCAGAGTTGTTATCTTAAGATAACAAGCTAAGCATCTTGTGGTCTCAGGATAACAAAGTTGTTATCTTGAGATAACGAGTTGAGTGTCCTGTGATCTCAAGATAACAAAGTTGTTCATTTGAGATCACAAGATATTTAACTTGTTATCTCAAGAAAACAACCCAGAAAGTTATAGCAACAGCTCATGGCCTCTCTGGACTTCCGTAATTTTGCCTTTTAACAAGAATGTATCTTAGAAAATACGTTTTAGACCAAAATCTCAATTACTTTCATAAAGCAATGTCTCAGGCGTCAGGCAGCGTTTTCATAACCATTTCTTGTAATCATTTTCTGTGAGGGAGCTTTTAAAGGCATTAAACTCCTCAGATGTCTGGTTCCTATCACTACCACTGTGAGGAATTTTGGCTCAGTAAGTTTGTTCTAGAATGGAACATTTCACATCCGAATGACTTGTTCACACATGACTGAATTATGCAGACATTTTGAAACATAAGTGGAATTTATTCCCTGTATGTTGAGGTGTATACAGCAAGAAAGGAGATGCTTTCAGACAAACAGTTTTTGGATGCTGCTGCATGAGCACTTTATAGTGAGTTTGTAGATCCAGAAAGCTTTGTGGAACATGTCATTTGGAATTTTCATTTGTACTAACAAAACCACTGACGTGAATCCTTCTCTCCTCATTTCCTTCTCTTTTCTGGTTTTGAGTTTGAGATTTCTCTTTTTTTTTCTCCGTTTCCCACTAAGGAACCATCACATCATGGGTGGTGATCTTCATCCTGCCCATCAACAGTGCCTTAAACCCCATCCTGTACACGCTGACCACCAGCTTCTTCCGAGAGCAGGTGGAAGTGCTTCTGTGCCAATGGCAGAGACACACGTCCCTCAAAAAGGAACGCAAGAGCTTGACCACTTCGGTCATGGATATGGACCACTCGCGGCGTCAGTACTGCCCACAAGGCTTCCTGCCACGGACATCCATTTTAAACATAGATGGCAGTTTCAGATGAACCTTAGGAGGAGAGTGTTCCGCAAAGACCTCATGTGACCTTACAAACTGATCATTTTGGAAAGGAGGCTTGGTCCCACCGATGTTGCTGGGTGACAAGCTGACGCTGTTCTTCATCACAAGGAAAGAGTTGGTGGAACTTCTGTTGAACTGGAGATGAAGAGGCGGTCCTTCCAGTGATCTACAACCTTAACAGGCATGATATTCATGAACTGAAAGACATTTCATATTCTGAAATACATTTTCAGGTAGAGCTTCAGAAACCATGGCGTTTTTTTTCCAAACAGTGAAGCAGAAATGTCTAAAATGGAATAAACTCTGTGGAAGATGTGCTGCTAAGCTGTTTTGCTGCTAAATATCTCAGGTGAGTTTAGCAAAAGCATTGTAGTTCTGAAATAATTGTACAATGCTGCTTTTATTTAAACTCTAAGACTAAGGAAACTCTAAGACTAAGGAAAAATAAACCCATTTTAAAAACTTTGTGGCACGATTATTGGCACCCTGAGCAATCTGAGACCCCTCCTCAACACAGAATCCCAATATTCTCCAAAGTTCTAGACCTTTTCTTTTGAACCCTCCTCTTTGGCTTTCCCCACAGGTTTACAATGGGGTTTTGGTCAGGGAACTAAAACGAGAAGCTTGATTCTGTGGTCATTTTTGTGGATTTGGATGTATGTTTTGGATCATTGTCCTGCTGGAAGATTCAACCATGACACAGGTTTAGCTTTTTAGCAGAGGCAGACAAATTCCCTTCATTGCTTTCCATGATGCCATATATCCTACCAAGATTCTCAGAGCCTTTGAAGGAAACCCCCAAGTCATCACAGGCCCTCAACTATACTTAATGGTGTGCATGATAGTATTTTCTATATTTAATCCATGTTTATATGCCAAGCCCACCTTGAGTGTTTGTTGCCAGAAAGCTCTTATTTGACCTTAGTACCCAGTTGTAGTCAAAGTTTCAGTAGCATCTTCTGGAATATTTGCAAATACTTAATGGCATGGAGATGACATCTAATTGTAGTTTTGGAGGCTTACTGACCTCAAAATACTGCCATCTTCTATAATCATTGAAGATTTTTTGGTCACTCTAACTCTAAGGTAAAATGTGTCTTCTTCCAGGCAGGTTCACTACAGCTCTGGTTGTTTTAAACTTCTTCATTATCACTCTAACAGTGTTTGAAGGGAATTTGGCCTCTGTGTCACCTCATATATATACCCCAGTGTAATAGGAAGTCATGGATGACCACTTAAGAGTTTCTGAACACTCAAGTTGACTTAAAAATAGTGTATTATAATTAGGAATATGTTGTATTTACGTTTTGTTTAGAAGAATTTCTTGGGTTGCCAATAATTGTGGCACATGGATTTTGTTAAAAAGTACTATTGATAAGGGTTTTTGTTTCCTTAGGCCAAATTTTACTTCAATTAAAAGTTGGACTTCTCTATTATTTCAATGTGAGTTTAAGCTAATTAACCACAAAGACACCTCATAAGCTTTTGTTGTTCATCTTTACCAAGGGTGCCAATAATTATGGAGCTGACTGGAGGTTGCATATTTGTTACATTCAAGCTTGGTTCTCAGTGGTTCTTAAATGGACCAGTTAGACCTGCAATTTTTTCACTGCAACTGTTCTATGAAATTGTGAACAAAATATTAAATATTTTGCAAAATATAAATAGTTTTTTTTTGTATATACTCAGATTTCTTTGTATGAATCTGAGGAGTTTAAATTCTGGTAACTTTTTGTCTGACCTCCTGTGAGCGATTTGGAGACTTTAGTTTCTGTTCTGAAATTCCTTATAGTGACACTGAGGATGTAATGCTTTTGGGAAATTCACCCAAAGTTTAGTTCAACTCTAAGATGTATTAAAATGATTTATTTTTCTTTATACTTACATCAGCCATCGAGAGCAACTGTTATTGTAATACTCATGAAATTAGCTACAAACTTGAAATTAGCCTCTGAATAGTATTAGATGCCAAATTTTTCTGCCCAAAAAGTAGAGGATTCATTGTTGACAGATCAGATATATTCATTCTTTTAGTTTTAAATATGGTTCTTTGTGCCAAAACATCTGGCTGTAAATTATAGGGAAGCAGTATGTCCCAAATTCCATCCTTGTAGTGTTTCTGTACCTCTTCTAAAATGCACAACTTTGACTGTAACTGTAACATTGGGCCTCATTCACCAATTGTTCTTCAGTTTTAAATTTCTTCTTAAAACCCAGTTATGCAGTTTTCACGAAGATGCTGACATTCACCAGTGTTTTCTTATTTGGGATTTGTTCTTAGGTAAGAACAGAATCTACACACACTCAAGAGCACAAAAGTGCATATAATTCAGCAGTTTAAGAACACACCATGAATCTAATGTTTTTCCTAGAAACTTTCTCAAGAACAAATTTAAGAAAACTTAGGAAAATATTGGTGAATGAGGCCCAATGTGTCTGAATGTCACAGTGTTGCATTTTTTATTTTGTGTGCTATAATAAATGTAAACTATGTCAACTGTAAACTGTTTAAACTTATTAGTCCATATCCAGTGAACTCAGACTCCAATTAATCAAATTAATCAAATTAACCCCTTAAAATCCCAGGCTTTTACACACTAAGGCTTATTTTTCAGTAACCACTGGACTTCAGTGCCAACCGGCTGAGCTATTCTTAGGATATAGAAGTGTAATTAAACTTTGGGCCCAGCACCAGGCCCTGGCCATTTAAGGGATTTGAGGGGAAATCATTCATTGATTTTTCAAACATTCTACATAATTTAGTCTTTGAGATGTAAACAAAGCCATTCAGAGTGGTCTGATGTGAAATAGTTCATTGTAGAGAAAACTTACTGATTCATTTCTGTACAGTGGTGGAACCAGGATTTGCAATGTCTACAATACAAATATAATCATTTTATTTACTATCCAAAAGGACCAGTGAACCTACATGTGTCTTCTGAGTTTAGGTATTTAATGTTGATGATAGTAAAAAAGTGGGAAATCTTAAAAGATGAATTGTCTTTGGGTACTTTTTTGCCTTAGAACACCCTGCATGTAATTGACCACCATGAATTTCTTTTTAAAAATATGTTTTGAACCGAAAGCTAATCGCAAAACTATCATAAACAGTGTCACAGGCTTCAGGCAGTGTACTTGTAACAATTTCATGTATAACATCTTTCTGTGAGGAAGCTTTTAGAGGTAATAAACTCTTTGGATGTCTGGTTCCTATCACCACCACTATGAACACATTTCTCTAGAACAGAACATTTTAACGTTAAACCACTCTGAATGACATTGTTTACATGTTAATGACTGAATTATGTGGAAATTAAACAAAAACTGGTGAAATTCCTGCAGGTCAGGCTGATATTGCTTTATTCTAGGGGGAGGGGCTTAGTTGGGAGTGTTAATGGGGGAGGAGCTTATTTGTTGCATGTCTTGCAAGGATGAAGAGTTTGGTTGAGTGTTGCTGGGGGTATACATGATGCTTAAGCTTATAAGCTTATATGTGATGTGTATTAATGGAGGAGGGGCTTAAATGTGTTGAGTCTTGCAAGGAGGAGGAGTTTGGTTGAGTGGTAGAGCATAAATCTGGAGATCAGAGCTGTTCTAGACAGCTTGCATCCTTACACAACATCACAAGACAAATTTGTAAGAACAGTGTGGCTTACAGTCAAGCAATGTTGCCAGTGCTAAAACAGCTGCCCACATGAAGAAGCCGGTAGAGGAGAATCAGGTGCAGTTTAGCTAGAACCTCTTAGCCAGGTAGGTTCATTTAGGTAGCATTAGTTTTCCAAACTGCTTTGCCAAGTTAAAATTGGTCATGCAATTAAACTGACATCATGTGTCTGAAGAACAACTGAGGAAGTAGCACAAGTAAAAGGAGCTGTCCAGCCTAAAACTACAGTATGCAGTGATTTTCTAAGTGAAAATAAGTTAACACATTCTCCACAGAGAAATATGAGATTCTTCTGCAAATTTAAGTGCACAAGTTTAACATATTGGAAAAAAAAAATAAAACATAAAATCTAAAATGTGCCACAACTTTTGCGCAGGTCATGTTCTGTGCCTTTTTCAAAAATTCAGTAAATAAACAGTAATTGTGCATGAAAATGTGCAGAAATTTGCTGTCTGAAGAGAATGTGTTCTTTTTTATTGTTACTTACTTTCTCATAGAAAATCAACAAAACATTGATTTTCAGCATGCATTACCCAGATACTTATTATAATCATTATTATTATTTTTGCTCTTTTCTCTGTTTTTTGCAATCAAGAGTTGAGAAAATTATTATGCAGAATAGTCTGGAACTCTGAGAAAGTCCTGCCTTCATCAGACTTTGAGCTCAGGCAGCCTGATAGCATCTGTAACAGTTGTGCTAACAGGATAAAAATTCAGCAGCACAAAGGAAACTTCACAAGCACACAGAGGAGTACATTTACTGACAGATATGTTTATCAATATTTTCAATATATTTGTATATCCTACATACTTTTGATACATTTTAGATTTTTATCTCAAATTGAAATTGTCAATACAATGAGAACATTTCTCAAAATAATGACTTAGCATCTGAAATTAATGAGATATATCTCAAAAAAATGACTTAGGACCTCAAATTCATGAATAAGCATCTCATATTAATGAGATAGTATGTCAAAACAATGACTTAGTATCGCAAATCAATGAGATACTATCTCAAAATGAGTGTCAAAAATTAATGACAGTATCTTAAAAATTACTTAGTATCTCAAAATAATGACTTAGAATCTCAAATTCATGAATATGCATCTCATATTGATATAGTATTTCAAAACAATGAGATACTATCTCAAAATAATGTCTTAGCATCCGAAATTAATTATATATCTCAAAATAATTACTTAGAATCTCAAATTAATGAATAGGCATCTCATATTGATGAGATTGTATTTCAAAACAATGAGATACTATCTCAAAATAATGACAGTGTCTAAAATGAATGCGATAGTATCTTAAAAATTACTTGGTATCTCAAATAATGACTTAGAATCTCAAATTCATGAATATGCATCTCAAATCAATGAGATACTATCTCAAAATAATGACTTAGCATCTCAAATTAATGAGCAGTATCTCAAAATAATTGCTTAGCGTCTCAAGATAATGACTTCAAATCTCAAATGAATGAATAAGCATTTCAAATCAATGAGATACTAAGTCATTATTTTGAGATACTATCTTAAATCAATGAGATACTATCTCAAAATAATGACTTGGCATCTCAAATTAATGAGATATATCTCAAAATAGTTACTTAGAATCTCAAATGAATGACTAAGCATCTCATATTAATGGGATAGGGTCTCAAAACAATGACTTAGTATCTCAAAATAATGACTTAGTATCTCAAATCAATGAGATAATATCTTAAAAATGATTTAGTATCTCAAATAATGACTTACAATCTCAAATCAATGAGATACTATCTCAAAGGAACGGCTTAGCATCTCAAATTAACGACTAAGCATCTTAAATGAATGAGACAGCATTTCAAAATAATGACAAATTAATAATAATTATATCTCAAAATAATGACTTGGTATCACAAAATAGTGGCATAGCAATTCACTTAATAGTTTTTAAGGGGCAAGAAGTGGCAGAATCCACAAAAACAATATAAATACATTTCAGAGGAAGAGCAGCGAAGTTGTTGGTGAGCGTTGCTAGGGGGAGGAGTTTAGCTGAGAGCGTTACTAAGGGGCGGGGCGTAGTCGCGTCGGTGGACGGCAGTTGTGAAGCTGAGTCTGTAACGGCTCCGGTTTACACTTTAACGGACAGACACTGGCTGAGAGGATGAGACAGTCCGGAGTGTCTGCACGGTAAGTGAATTCATTCATAGAGTCGTTTGCTTACTTGAAGTGGAGAGATACGTAGAGTCAGCGTGTCGCGTTTGAATGTTACCACAGTTCGGTATGAAATATTAATCACAGTCAGCGGTCTGTGGGTTTCATTACAGCGGCAGCTGCTCTGTGTGAGGCAGCTCGGCCGTGGGCTGCTGTGTGGGAGGCTGCAGCTTCAACAAGTGCAGCGAGTCCTCAGCTCAGAGCTCAGGTTCAGGATAAAACCGGCTCTCTGTGACTCTGTGCTGCGACTGATAACTCGTTTTGACGTGAATGTGTTGTTGGTGTTGCGTCTGTTATTAAAAGAAGACTATTTTAAGGCGAATTGTTCCTCTTGTATGGTTACAGCAGCAAA